GGCGGGGCCGTCGGCTCAGTCTGGTTGTCTGCTGAGCGTTAACCCTGGAATAGCGCGTGCCTCAACAAGGGGGGGAGGATGGACGTGAGAGTGGAGCAGCAGAGAGGAGGACCAGCCCCCCCTCCTCCGCGTCGGCCCTGAAACAGGTGGCAGCAGAACCGGCTCTGATGTCGCTCGGTTGCGACGGCCTCAGTACAGTGATTAAATTGTCCTGTGGCAGGGACAGACGGGGAGCGCGGGAGGCAGGGTTAGCAACAAAAGTGAGGCAGCTCGTAAAATACTCAGCATCTTGCCAAGCAAACGAAGTAACCCATCCACCACTCCCCACCGTGTGTGGGGGCGCGTCGCAGCCCCCAAGGTGGGCTTTCTTGACGAGACAGACACGTTCTGCCTGGATGAGATCATTATTAGCCAGCTGCTAAGTACCCTCATATGCATATCTATTTCTTGAATTATAAGCATAAATTGAACGAAGCAAAACGTTCTGATGCCAGCAACAGTGTCTTCTCAGCACCGTTGGAGCAATGTCTCAGCAGTGAGTTAAGTCTGGATTCCTGGCTATCACAATATTTTTTTTTACTTATATACTTAGATTCATTGTGTATTAGATTCATTTGGACTCATTTCACCAAATTTTTAACTTTCTGCTCTGCTGGGCTGCTGCAGATGTAATCAGTGGGCTGCCTGTGCTCTGGAGTGAACTTGGTCCTTCTGGCCCGGCTGACACATCAGACCCCTCTGACCCGGATTTCTGGAAGAGTAACCTCCTTCCTGGTATGTACTAATTAAATTACCCCAAAATAAGAGGGTTGTAACATACTAACATGTCATAATATATTCTATATTCAAAACCAAGTTTGTAATTCAGCAGACAAAATTGATTTATGTACTGAAACTTTGAAATCCTGTCAACTAACAGTATCAGCTTCTAAATCTTGCTCCCAGGCTCTCAGTCCCTTGTGAGGATGGAAGTCTGAGCCTTGTCTCCAGGTCTGCAGAACAGTGCACACAGACTGCAAGTGAAAAATGCTGCGTGCACAAACATAAATAAGTCTAGCCAAATTGTGTGTACATGCTAGCAACTTAGGCCCATTAACAGTGGAAAATATGTCCAGCCTCTAGAACGCTAGGTGAAACAATAGCATGTTATTCTTTCAAAGGCCAGAATTAGAGTGGAATTTATGTGAGCTGAGTACTACCACCTTAATTAATCTAGCAGTTTATAGACAATAAATCATGTGCTGAGTTTTAAATTACTGTGCTAGACACATTTCACCTCACATATTCACTTAGCGTACCTCCTGAGCACTTGCAGAAGATTATTGGGAAAATCTAAATAGAGAGTGAATTTCCATACTCTAGGAAATGTTCTACATGAGACAACGATAGCAGACTCAAAGCCCTACTGCAAACTGCATTCATCAGCAAATTACAGCAATTAAGTAAGGGACTCCAGATGAATGTGGGTGACAAGCCCACCACGTGGCAGGTATTTATTAGTAATTAAGCTTTGGCAAACAGAAAAGAACCAAAGACTTCATGCTGTCAGCCTATGTGACAAGCTGAAAAGGAAGTGCCTGCTGTTGACTGAGCACAGAGACAATGGGGGCCCAAGAGAGACTGCTAGACAGCAACGGACACGGAGCACTGTGGAGCAGCCAGGCTGAGATCCATCAGTGTTTTCAAAAGCCTGCCACTTAGAACAGAGTGCATGGAGCACTGCAGAGGTGACAGTCCTGGGGCTGTATGAGCTTTGATTGCATCCATCTCTTCAGCTGCCTATCCAGCTCCTTCCCCATAGTCCCAGCCTTGTGGTTAAGGGGGAAAAGAGCTACTTGAAAGCTCTAATCCCTGGCTTAGTCACTTCCACAATGCTATGCATCTCCTAGCACAAAGCACTCTGCAAGCCTCTGTCCATATGAATGGACAGCTGATGGATTTCTACAGTCCTCCACCAGAGAGGGAGGAAAGTTTCCCAGTTCACACATGGGAATAGCAGGGTCACAAGAGTCTTGTTAGGTAATAAGGGTATAAAACAGTGAATTTTAATACAAAAGTTCTCTTAGAAACAGGAGGAGAAATAATAAAATGCTGATTGTTTGTATTGATTTTGAATCGAAACAGCAAAAACGTGTATCCCAGTTTCTAGCAATTTGCCATCAATTAAAAATAGAAGTCAGGCACAAAGGCAGCACTATCAGCTAGTGCATCTCACCAAACCCACACTTCAGATCTCCTTGAACTCCAGTTCCAAAGACAGACCTTTGCAGCAGCTCAACAGAGCTCAGCTTGACACAGGCAGCTGTGAGAATCCAAGCTATGAGTCAACATAGACAGTGAATTACAGGCAAAGATCAGGCTGCTGAAAAGGAGAAGGTAAAGGAACTCTCTGGATTTGAGCAGCATGGGTCTCAAGGGTGGGGCAGAAAAATGAGTCATGTCTTGTGTGGCAAGTTATTACCATTAGAAAAAAAAAAAATTACATTTCCTAATAAACAGTTTGAATCTCAAATGTTAACAGTACCTAGCACAGCTCCTCTGCAGTGCTTCTTAGTTGTACATGTTGAGCAAGCACCAATCTGAGATTTTTTTGCTCACTAGCACTGGTTTAGCTGGGCGCTGAACCGTCAGGTGCAAAGCAGAACCTGCTAGTCTAGGGCAAGGGATAGAGGCAATCTCATGCAGTTCCAGAATCAGCATTAAAGGCATAGTAAAGTCTTGTTTTGGAAAGCAGGAAATCCCTGCAGCAGCAACGCAAAACTCATTTGTTTCCCAGTTAAAAACTTCTCCAATAATCCCCAATTCCTCATGCAAACCAAGGGCTTGCACCACTCTGGGTCTGATGAGCGGCTTATGAGAACAGAGTGAAGATGTGATTCTGGGAATTTGCCTTAATCAGACAAGCTGGGACCCTTCCAAACACAAGCATCTCATTGCAAAGCCTATCACAAGAGATTAGCTACAAGCAGCTGCTACTGCCAAGACTCTTTATAATCAGCCAAACCCATCCCAATCTATATGATGCACAGATGGAGCCCGGGCCCCCTCTCCTCTGTCCCCTACAGATTAGCTATTGTATAAGGGGTTTCTGGACTGCAGACAGACAAGCAGACGGCTGGAGATGGATGGGAGAGGGGAAGGGATAGCACTTTTCTCAAATCTGGTTGATTTGAAATGGCTTCAGATCATGACTGAACTGACAAATGTGAGGCTCTCCAGCACATACCCCTAGGTCAATATTGCTTCTGTCATTATGGATTAACATGGAAGTTAACAAAAAGCAACAAAAGACAGAAGCAGACAGGAGTTCAGCATGCTTTGCATTTTAGCTGTGCAATTCACAATTCCCCAAAATCTCACAGCAATTAGGTAGTCAGCATGCAGAGTGAAATGAGAGGTTATTTCCCAAGCAATGTAGGAAAACAAAAAGGAAGTGGCGGAGAGAAGAAAGGCAGAGAACAGTGAGAGGACAGTAGTAGCACATTTACAGAACAACTCAACTGCTACCACATACCAGATTTCAGTGTTTTCATGCTTCCTGAGCATCAAGCTCCAGGTTACACATTTCTGCAAGGGATATGGTGGAAGTTCCCCTGTCTGGACTCCAAATTATATCTGTGGATACCTGGATGGAATTTCTACTTCACGCATTGTTACGTACGACTCCAGTTCCCAGCCATGGTCTTCTGAAGGATTTAGTGGAAACCCCCATCCCAAAGTCCCTGCATTATCATTCAGGAGAGAATATTCTGTCTTCGCATAAAGCCAGCACAAGGAGTCCTGGTCCATGACTGGGGTCCTACAATCTATGATTACTGCACTGTTCATCATTTTATCTTCACCAAACACACCACTTATAAGATCGAATTCAGCAGTGATGCTGGACATAACTCAAAATCCATCTGTTGAGCTGAACCTGCATTTCCTGAGGCTTCTTTCCCTTCTCTACATATTATGTGTATGTAGCAGGAAGACTAGGAAGCACTATCAGACAGCTGACTTAATACAGTCAGACTCCAGTGCTGAGGTATTAAGCATTTTGTATTGAGTTTATTGCTTTTTCAAAGACTTCACTGACAAGGTCATGGAATTCTCTGGCTCCTGCTTCTTGTGTCTTAGCCCTGTGCGTGTGTTACTGGAATAGAGAGAGCTGTCTGTGTCAGGGAGTGGTTTTCTTACCCAATATGAACCCTGTGCAGGTGTCAAGCTGGGGATGTTCTCATTAGAGGTGGGTGGGAATAGGGAGAGATAAGACAGGATCACAGAACTAAGGAAACCCTCAAGGGTTTCCTAAAAGTTCATCTTTCATATCAGTTTTGTTCACATTTTTTTTTGAAGATAAAGAGGATTTACTGATATTCCAAGTGCAGCAGCCTGAATCATTCTTTTTGTTAGATAAACTGAATTGCATGCATGCTTAATTGTGTAGGAGCAGAGGCAGCCTTGTGCCTGTTTTGTCCACAATTGCCAGGTGACAGACCTCCTAGCTCAGCCTTTTAGTGTCATAGAATACTAAACAACTACACCAAGACTAAATGCTGTTTTATTCTTGCAAACCGAGTGGTTTGAGGAGTAGGTAAAAGCAATTGTATGCTTTTCAAACCTGTAGAATTGCAAAACCACAGCAAGCCAGGAAAGGGACAGCACTGGCACAGAATTCTTCCTTACCCTTCATCAGTGTCTGAGAGATGTTCCTGAAGAGCATGTTTCTGCTGCTGTCAGGAGCTGGAGCCTGGGCAATTTCCTCATCTGCTCTAATTCCACTTCACGCATTTATTCCTTCTCGTCTCCAGAGCTGCTTGCAAGAAACACCTTGCACAGTTCCAAACCAGAGTTCATTGCATCAATAACGGTCTTAATGCAGTTGGATGCTTGTGTACCAAAAGCACGAAGCAGCTGGACTCTCATCTCTAGCCAGCAGGACCTCAGTGGCTGTTGGTAGTTTCAGGGTGGAGTCTTATTTCAGCAGCATTAAACTTACCCAGCTTCTTGTATCCAACATGCATGACTTAGGGCACAACTGCTAGTTTTGCAATCATTTAAAGTCTGTTGCCAGGGTGTGGCAAAGACATCGCATGCTTCCTCTTTCCACATGGATGTCACTGAAAGAAAAGGGAATAGACTACTGGGTAAGCTGGAACTTCTCACCGAGTTATGATCACGTTGCACCAGCCAAGTGGGCTACAGTAGGAGGGTGACCAGTATCTCCTACATAAAGAGGTTGTTCATTCAGCTGTTGTCCCTGGGGCCCCCATAGCCACCTTGCTGGCACCTTGTGCTCATGCACAACTAGCAGAACACGTGGCTACTGCCTGCAGAGCTCAGAAAGAGCTCAGGAAGTGCTGTTGCTGTGCTGGGTGGTTATCACCATTTCAGCAAAACGCCAACTGGACAGCTTCACAATACAGTTACTGAGCCAATGGCAGACTCAGCCCTGAGGTAAACTATAACCGTACCTTCAAACGAGTGCAGGCATGAATCCAGGCTTCTGGCAAACATCCTAATTTCTGCTGTGAGAGACAATGCTGCAGCCTATTATACGCAGGTGGGCCACATTAGCAGCTGGGTGAATGGCAGCACAGAGCCCTGTGCTGCACACCTGGCTCCTAATCTCTGAACAGTACAGCACCACATAATAGCAGCTTAGTATAATCAGCAATATTCAGATAAACCTCAAACTCTTCCTGCGGCAAATTCGGAAATAAAAATGATTAAGATCTCTCCGTTGTTCTACATAAAGCAAACTTTAGCAAACCTTTCCTAATAATAAATTAATTTAAACCTTCCCTTCCGTATAAGATCTCTGCACATGGAACATTCAAGGTTTAATTTCCGCACTCTGCTTTGGGTTGATTAGGATTATGACTCCTCTTTCACAAAGGAGCGAGCACACAGTTGGTCTTCAGCAGATGTGGTTATAGAGCCCAGGACTTCCTACTCCCAAATCTGAGCAGTAACTGTCAGCCTTCACTCACCCCTCGCTCTTTCATGGGCACAATGGGATTTGCATTTTATGTGGATTAAAGGGACAAATGGTACTTGCATGCGGAAAACCACATCAGCCTTCCCAAAGCTCCCTATGAGTTGGAGTGTAGCCCCAACGTAGAGAAACCTAACCAACCTGTTAAACGGACAGCAGGACTGTTTTGGAGACGATGGGGTTGTATGAGTGTTCATGTTCCCTGGTTTTAGGGTGCTTCTGAGATGTCTGACAAATACTGGACTAATTATTAGACTAAACCACAGTGCAGAGATCAATAGAAGGAGCTGGATGAAATATTGCCCAAAGTGCTATAAAAATTGCTGGACCATACTCTGAAGCTGGTGACTTCTTGAAAATTCATGCAAGAGCACAGGACTGTGTAAGACTGGGCCTCTGCTACATGTCCTTGGGCCAACGCTCTGTAATTTGCATCTAAACATGCCTGACTGAAGCTGATTTCATGCGTCAGTTGTTTCATGTGCCTCTAGACTGTGAGCAGATTTCAGCTCAATGGAGCTACCTCCACTGCAAATCTCTCAGCTGCTGCCCTGATGCAGGGGACAGAAGGCAGCCCATGGCAGGGTCCGCATGCAAACCACCTGTGTACCCCTGAGCCAGGACAGCCCCTACCCATGAAAGGCACAAGGGACAATTCACAGTGAGCAAAGCAAATATTTTTTCTGACACCTCTGTGGTCAAAAAAAGTTTTGCAGTAACAAGACTGTAAACCGCTACAAATAAAATAGAAAGTAAAGCTGAAGGTGCTTTTGAGAGAAAAGGCTTTGAAATCCAGAAAATGGAAGTATCACCTCTAGCATTCCTTGCTGGCTCCCTGGAGCCAGCTCTGTCTGGCACTGACTTAATCTTCCTGCCCTTAAGTGGCTCAGCCCTCTTGAAATGCAGACTTCAGTGGCTTGTGCAGTAATCTCTACAGTTGAACCTTTTAAGTGTTCCTACCTTGACCAATGGATCCAAATGTGCCCAGATGGCTGGGTCAGCACACAGCAAGTACCTTGGGTCTTCACTTGGTTTCCTCCCACTGGATTTCAGACCCTATTTAAAGGGAGAGAGGCTAACACATGGCTTGACAACAAAACCAGAGGACTTGACACAAAAGCAACTCTAACGCAACTCTTTGCCTGAGGACGCTTTGAAAATTGCTCCTGGGTCTGCCAAGCAGAGTTGCATCAGAGTTAAGGGAGACACCAACCCTGCCTTCCCCCATGAGGCAAGTGCTGTCCCAACGAATGGCAAGGACTGTGCAGCTTTGCTGCTGTGAAGTTTCCCCTTTTATTAGGGAATACTTGCTGACCTCTAGGAAAAGGCAACTTTTTCACACTACCTAGATGCTAAATATCACATGAAGGAGCCAGCAACATTGCAAGTTTTATGCTTCACTCCTTTCTTTTCCATCTTCTTCTTTTCTATAGAAAGGGAGGAGGTTTGTTGTCCAGGGAGCTTGTAGTACTGTCACACTTCAAAAATTATCTGACAGGAAGCTGACAACGTTTTTCTTCATGCCAATCTACTGCTGAAATACAAGCCCTATCCTCCTGATCACGGCCTGTATTCTGACTCACCCTTGTGCAGAAACTGAGCTGCACTCACAGACCTGTACAGGCATGGCAGAGATGGCAGAAGACACAGCGCTATCTGCTGAGACACCTCTCCTGGATCTGCACCGCAGGGAAACAGGCACTGCTTTTCCAGGCTCTGCTGACTATCTGTGGGATGTTAGGCAAACCACACAGCCCCTGAGGAATGGCTGCACTACTTCTCATAGCCAAAAGCTTTTGTTTTGCATAAGAGAGCAAATACCTAAGATTTGCCCATAGAATTAATCTGCTTTCTAAGCACTTACCTTTATAAATACTCGTGCTATTTGCTCTGAACAAATAAGTAAAGAACTGTTTGCTTCCTGCAGGTAAATGCTGGAGGGATAAATGGCTACAGACTTCAGGGAGAAGGCTGGAAGACTAATTTTTAAGTACAGCACAGACTGAGATGAATAAAACAACACTCATTCACTTGAAGAAACAGTCTCTAAGAGTCTGCAGACTCTAGAGGGGACAAGCATTGATGACCTACTCCCAACTCCCTGCACCAACATCTTCCTCCCATGTCACATCAAGGCCATTTCCACTGAAAAGTGTTCCATGATTTGCATAGAACACAATTAAGACAGAATAACTCACACACATTAGCTGAGATTTATCTTCCTTGGTGTGGATTAGCAGCCCAGGTAAAGCTGTCTTCTCCTCCCTGAAAAAGTCAAGAGATTTGCTAACACTGCTCTGGGGAAACCACTCTCTTGGGAACTCACTTACTATTCCCCCTTACAAGGGCTCACAAACAGCTGAGCTGTCAAACACCTAAAGGTTTTATCTGAAGCATCTGCTATGCCTCTTAATCACCAAAAGCAGTCAGTTGTAAAAGTTAATCACAAAATTGCAAAGCAATAACAAAGCCTGAATTAACCTCATTAAGATTTTGCAAACTCTTCATTTTCCCCACATACTTCTCCCAGCTGGAAGGCTTTAGATCTGGCTGAAGCTTCACGTGTACCAGCCCCTACCACGCAGCCTTTCTGCGATTTACGTGGTGGTAGCTCATCAGCACCAGGTTCCTGAACTATAACAGGCAACGCCATGGGACACTCTGTGGAAACACGTGGCCTCCTAGTCGTGCCATCAATCAAATCCTTGCTATCCCCTTGCTGAAGCTAGCAATGAATTGCAGGAGCTGCTGATTTCAGGGAGATAAAGCAAGTCAGCAGAACAGCTAAGGGTGGGGTGCTGGTGCAGAGGGAGGATGCCAGGTATGCAGAGCAATGACTATCTTTATATAACATCCCTGAGGGGATTTAAACTGTTTGCAGTAAATTCTCTTACATAAAAGAGAGTGATTAGGCGCTGAGACACACCCTAGTGGAACACCCAGCTCTGCTCTTCAGGATGTGACTGGGTTTCATTAACCATCAAAGCATCTCATCTCACTTGAAGTGCTCCAGGGGCTTTTCCTCTTCCCTCCCATGGCAGCTGGGCCAGGAGCTGAGCAGGGACACAAAGGCCAGGCAGCTCTGGTAGGCTATCTGTACCCTGGATCCAGGGTTGAGCTCCTGGATAGCCTTGTAATCATGTGGAAGATGTTTACACCAGGGGGCCTCCATCCAGGTCAGCCAATACTCCAGACCATAGCATGGCAGCTGTGGCACAAAGACTGAAACAGCCCCTGCCAAGATAACCATTCACTATGCTAGGCCAGAAAGGTGGCCAGTGTTCCTGGCCATGATCCAACACCCACGTTGGTGAACAGGCAAAGCGTTCACCAACTCTCACTAAAGGAGAACAGGGATATGAGTAACTGGGTAGGGAGTGACAGCAGTCCTCATACAGCTCAGCTGCAGCCTGTAGAGACGCTGCCTACCATGTTTTCACAAGACACCTATCTAGAATCTAGAAAAAGGCAAGCCCCCCACACCCCCAAAAGGCAAAACACTTTGGTGCATCACCATTATTTATTGCTGAATACCCTCAGACTAAAGTCAGCGTGCCACGCACCAGTATTACACACTCCCTCCTAGGGACCAGGGACCGACTCTGTGCTCAGCTACAGATCATTAGTTTATACCTTGAGCACAGCTAGAACAATCCACGCTTTGCAGAGTACTTCGCCTCCGCAGCAAGCACACGCAGCAGAAAGCCTAGGATCAAAGTCAATGACCGCGCTGACTCGAGCGGAGAAGGACCCAGCGTGGAGGTACACAAGGCTCAGCACCCAGAGCTGGATCAGACGCTGCAGACTGAGGCAGGACAGCATATGCAATAACTGGAGACCAGTGTTATCCCTGAAGTGTGAAGTTCTTTTTCAAAGCCTTTTAGCATCAATCTGTCCTTGAGGTCTCACCAATTCCCAGAATCACTGGCATCCTATGGCAGCAAAAATTCCACTGGTTCCCTTTGAAGGTGTTTGATAGGACCCTCTCCAGGTCTTGTGATATGGAGAACAGCTGCTTCTGATCTGCTTTCTGCAGCTCACAGGTGACTTTATATACTTCCATTATACCTACTTTTCCTTGTTGAAAGGCAGCCGTTCCAGCACGGTCCCTGTGAAGGGCAGCGTGGAAGACTCAAGCCTCTTCCTTGGTACTTTTCCTGGGCTAAGGCACCGTATGCAACGACCTAGGCCATCGTGCTCCTGAAGCAATATTTGAGGGTTCCTTTTTACTGAAAGTGTCAGCTGACGTGACTGGAGATTGCTCTGCCGGGAACCCAGAGGGAAACAGGAGCTCCCAGGCTATTGCCGCTCTCCTCCCCACCAAGTTTGTGTCCTGCCAGCACCTTCTCTTAGGGCAGGGAGAAGGGGAGGTCGGCCGCGATAACGGATGCGCTCGGGGAGGACAGTCGCGTTTGCTCTCTGTAAGGGGGGCGCGGGAGAGAAACGGGGCCACGACGCCCGGCGCGTCGCCGTCCGGGCCG